CTATTTAATTTTATACTTATCACCTGCAACACTCTGATTTTTGTTTTCAATAAAAACAAGTTTTTATTTTAAAGAAAAAGGTTTTGACTTTATAAAAAAAAACTCATCATACAATAATTAATCGTGGATGGAAATCGAACCCACGACCTTCGGCTTAGCATTCAGGGTCACTAACCACTAGACAGTGGCGGATTTACATATTTGCCGCCAGTAGGCTTTTAAACTTTTGCCGCCCCTATTAATATTCTGTTGCCTGTCAATTGTACTAAACTATTATCTTAATTTCTTAATTTTCCATCCCTATAGTCTGTTTTTTAATCTCGTAGACTAAATTGACACATGCAAATGTCAAATTTACAAATAATGTTGCCAGCTCTTTTGTGCAGTGTTGTACCTACGATACCGGTTTGTTGAATCGTAACTTGTTATTTATAATAGACGAATTTAATTTTCATTCAAAGTTTTATATTTAAAATACACGTACGTGCACACGGCTGCACGACGTGCTACCAACTGCCAGGGAAATCTGATCACGCAACGCCATGTGTAATCCAACCGTGTTTCGATGCCTTTAAATTAAACAAAAAAAAAATATAGACGCCATCAGTGTTGTTCCCGTACGCATAAACGGCATAAAACGGCAATTTTAACCCTTTTCCCTTACTAAACGGCAGTACTTAAAAAATACGGAACTTAAAATTATGGAACTTGACACCATACGAACAATTGCAATTTTTAAAATAATTATGATAATATGGTAGTTTGTAAAATGTTAGATTTCGAATACGGGAACCCTAAATTTCACAGGAACAACACTGGACGCCATTTTGTTTACCTTATTCGTCCTTCAACCTCTGAAGTGTTCGAATGCGTCCGTTGTGTCTTGATACAATTTCAAGTGCTATTTGTTATATTTTCGTTGAGTTTGTTTCTGTTTGTTTGTTTTTTGTTAAGTTTTGTGGTTTTGTTACGTGGCACTGGGCACAAGTGGCACAAGCACTGGGTGGACACCAGTGTGAAATCATCACGTCAGGCTTTCTTGGAAGGGTTAACCACTGGGTTAAAAGGGCCTTCAGGCAAGTGGAGACGACTTGTAGTGTCCCATGTTGGAAGCGAAGAGGGTTTCGTGGATGATGGTCTATTAATATTCGAAGCGAAAAGGGGCTAGATGATTACCACAAGGAGATGACTTCTGATATATACGAAAACTGGTTAAAAAATATTTTTCCGAAATTAAAAGGAAACGCAGTACTTGTAATAGGTAATGCTCCATATCACACCAGGAGACTGGAATCGTTATCTACTTCTAGTTGGCGAAAAGGGCAAATCCAAGATTGGCTAAAATCAAAAAATATTTCATATGATGAGACAATGTTACAGCCCGAATTAAATGAAATTGCCCGAAAGCACAAAAAAGCCCATGAAAGGTATGTCGTCGACGAGATGGCTGCTGAACGGGGTGTCACTATTTTGCGACTGCCCCCTTACCACTGCGAGCTAAACCCGATTGAGTAGGTCTAGGCTCAAGTAAAGGGGCATGTCGCTAAAAATAATAAAACATTCAAAATGAATGAAGTACGAAGCCTTTTTGAAGAAGGGCTTCGTCAAGTGACCCCGCAGCGGTGGAAAGACTGTGAAGTCCATGTAATTAAAATTGAAGATCAAATGTGTCATCTGGGCCATATAACCGACGACATTACTGATAGGTTTATCATAGAAGTAGGTGGCGATTCTGATGATTCAGAATATTCCTCAGACATAGAGTCATTATCTGAATCAAATTAACGCGAATACCTGTAATTAAGTTATGTAATTAAAAATATATGTTTTACATTATTAATTTTGTATTATTACGTTTTAAATAAGTACCTACACATTATTTCAGGATAAACACATTATTTCAGGATAACTTATTGTAAAAAAAATGATACTTGATTTTATTAACGCTAAGTTTCGGTTGTGCCACATCACTATTTAAGAATTGCAATAAACTGACAACACTCGTAATGTCAGTTTAGTCTACGAGATTAAAAAACAAACTATAGTGATAGTATTTTTTCTTCAAAAAGTGGAAACAAACCAGAAGTTATAAAAACTCTTTCAAATAAAAAAATATATATTTTTTACAATCGGTTCATAAATAATGGATTTTAAAAACAGCCGAATTGAGAATTTTCTATGTGAATAGATGTTCTGTGAACGTTTCATGTAGGTATGTTTGTAAAGTCCCCCGCGACAAAGGCCCTATTCCTAGTGCAAGAGTTATCTTTTAAAAAGAAAAAACAATGTATTAATAGTTACGATGAATTCCACATTCCCTATTAAAACTCCTTTCTAAGGAGACGCCTATGTCCAGCAGTGGACTAGTAAAGGCTGTTGATGATGATGATAAAGATTCCACGTAGATTCACTTTCCTGACAATATTTTTTTAAAATATTTATATCACACAACGCCATCTAGTTTCAAACTAAGCAAAGCTTGTACTACGAAAGCTAGATTGACTGATATACCAAATACTTCTTTTTGTAAATACTCACATATTATACATAGAAAACACCCAAACTTCGAAACAAGTATTTGCAGATCATACAAACATTTGGTCTGACCCATCCATTCAATCGTATACACCGAGGCAGTCAGCCAAATGTCGGAATCGTATGAAGTGTCGTAGAGTACAATTGTCTAACAGCGGTTGTCTGATGTTTATTTGTCATAAGACTACCATTGAATCAAACAGACACTCCTTCTTCTTGAGTGTTTCGTTCATCATCAATCATCAACAGTTCTCCTTCTCTTTGTAGTGCTGTTGTCCTGCGTAGTTTATTCCCTTAGGCTGCTCTTACGACACCCACGGGATGAATAGGGATGGTGACACTCTGTATTCTTAATCCGTCACCACACAGATATAAGTATGTTTATCAGCAGTCTGGTTATCATACATGCTGTGTCTAGTTTAGGATCAGGCGGCCGTGTGTGAAAAGATTATTATTAATAACTAGCTGACCCGCGCAACTTCGTCTGCGTCTCTCAATAGTAATAAATTTACTCCGTTTTTGAAACATTCTTCATTGGTGCTCCGCTCCTATTGCTCTTAGCGTGATGATATATAGCCTATAGCCTTCCTCGATAAATGGGCTATCTAACACTGAAAGAATTTTTCAAATCGGACCAGTAGTTCCTGAGATTAGCGCGTTCAAACAAACAAACAAACAAACAAACTCTTCAGCTTTATAATATTAGTATAGAAGTATAGATTAAACTTAGAAAACAAATATGATGCTTCCAATAAACAAGTTGATTGACTTTACGTCAATATTAAAATTTCAAATTAACTGATATTTAAGTCTCAATTTCTAATTTCTGTTGTTTTGTTTTAACCCAATCACTGTAATTTCATTGTTTCTATGTTCAAAAACATTTGACAATAAAACAAAACAAAAATGGTAAATCGTCGCGTTAATCGTGACCCGGTAGGCCATGCCATGCAGCAGGCACTATAATCCATTGCCATTGCCAGCTTTGGTACGAAACAACAATTTCTTGGAACCTGATTGGTCAGGGGGCTTGATCGACACGTCACTATTTTCTTAACGCAAATGGACTATAGTTAATAAATTGTGGGTAGATAAACGAATCATATAGAAATAAAAACTTATAGGTAAGATATTGATGAATATAGTGTAGTAATATAATTTAATTCTATACACAATATAATATTATAGGAGTCGTCACTGACACGTGGTCGATGTGACCATTTCACACTGCGTACACATTTTTGTATACTACCCTCACTTATTTGTGATGCTTTTTGGTGGTGTTTTTTGTGATATTTTGCGACAATGTAAGTAGAATATGACGACATTGGTGTACGGTTAAACTTGAAGGAGTTTATGTTGCTTCTCTGTGTAAACGGCTTGTATTTGTATCAGCTAAACAAATAAATAAAAAAAAGGTACTAATGCTGTGAGTCGTTACTCACTTTCAGTTTAATCAGAGTCAGAGAAGGTGTTATAATACCGGCGTCTGGCTAAAAACGGTAGCCGGACGTTCCATCACAGTAGCCAGACGGTCCGCTGCTACAATCAGTTTTCTCATTGCATGTGTATACTCCATCGTAGGCGTTGCTCTTTGGTTGTTTACAAAGTTACATTCACAATTTAAATTACCGCTTCGGTGCTGAGAGCCCTCTAAACCACAACCTTTGTATTCTACAGTATTTATATTTTACAACATTATACAGCAGCTGAAGTTGATGCATCTCCACACACGTTATCATTAGTGGACATAATAAACAACAATTCCCGTGTTATACTATAAAAGAAGTTAATATTCTGGTTAATCTGTCACCACACGGACACTGTTAACTGTCCATGTAGTGACGAATTAAGAATATGGAGTGTCACCACCCCTATTCCTCCTTCGGGTGCCTTAAGAGTTGGCTAAGGGAGCAAACTATGCAGGAGAACAGCACTGCAAAAAGAAGAAAAACTTGAAACTAACCCTATACCAACCTGTTTAAGCAGCGCGATCTAGTAGGCCAAAACCTCATTTCTAAGAAGGGGCCTATGTACAGGAGTGAGCTATTAAAGGCTGTTTATGTAATGATGTGATGTGATGATTCTTGTTAATTGAGTTTGAGTAATGTCGAGATGTTTGTTTATAGTGTATAATCTATGATCACTGTTTTTCGTTTCGCAGTAGCGTATTCTATTTAAATACTCTCAAAAATTTAAGAATTCTGAGAGTTCTTCTGTTATTGATAGAATGAAAACATTTTGAAGATTTAGTAAGAGAATAAAAATATTTTGAATTTATATGAGATGAAATTTCTAACAAATTAAAAGAAATTCACTTTGACTTTGACACCCATCATGTCAATCTCACGTTTCTCTGTTTGACTTTGACATAATTCTAACCTCAAAAGCCACCTTGTGTCTGTTAGTTGTTTGCGTGTTGTATTTACAATTTGTACAAGTTTGTTGTAATATTGTATTTAAAAATGAGTGAAGATCATGGAAGTGATGTTAATAAGAAAAGGTCACGAAAAAAACGTAAGAACTTTCTTGCAAATGCCAAGAAGTATGCCAAAAAAGGACAAATGGGACGTGGTACTAAGATCCCTGAGGAGTTATACCAATATTTTGTGGGAATCTTAGATGTGATGAAACAAGGCATTGAGAATGAAGAAGAGAGATGTAAGATATTGATACTATTACTTTAATAATGCTTCTTACTGTTTAAAAATGATTTATTCAAAGACTAAGCCACTGTATTAGAATTAAATCATTTATTGTATAGATTGTATTATGTATTAATTTTAACTGCCGTAGTCAATTCACTTGATAACAAAATTATTTGTTTTGTCCAGGAGTGGACTATTAAAGGCTGTTGATGTGATAAAGTTCGTTTTTTGTCTATTGATAACGCACCATGGTTTTTTATTACGGCATAAGGGGAAACGGGTTGACAGGCCACCATACGATCAGATTACTACTCAGATTAACTCAAGAGATACCAGTGCAATGCAACCCTTTGAATATCTCCACCCCATCTTTAACACCAGTGTTCTGTAAGGCTAAGGTATCACTCTAGTCTAGCCAGCCTTCATGGTATTATGCCATCAATTCTATAATGCCCTCTATGCTAAAAAGAGACTGTAAAATGCCCCCCTGTTCTACATTTGAGATCACTCTTTAGAAGTTTAAAATATTAATTTAATTAAATCTCCATAAAAATTTCAGGTGCCTTAGTTAACAATGTTTTAGAACGGACAAAAGATGAAGAGTTAAACGTAATTGGTAACCAGCTTGGTTGCCGTGTGGTAGAATTACTCTTACCGTTTGCTTCAGCTGATGATTTGGAACGATATATAGATGTACTATCACCGGATTTACGTAAACTTTGTTCAGATAACTTTACAAGCCATGTGGTAGAGACACTACTTAGAGTAGCGTGTGATAGAGCTACATTACATTTACAAACCCAAGAAAGCAGTCAGTCAGATTCTGAGGAAATTCCAAAAAAGAAGATTAAAAAGGATTCAAAAAAAGAAGAGTCAAAATATGAAGAAGAACATGTACAAAAATGCCACGAATTCACAATAAAAATATCAAAATATGCATTAAATAATCTGGAAGATTTTGTGTGGGATCAATACGCAAACCATATACTCCGTAGTGTACTGAAATGCCTTAGCGGTATCACATTATTACCTGGAGAGAAGCCAAAGGTTAATATTTTTAAAACAACCGTCGATGACGGCAAAGGTATACCTCCACATCTTACCATTATGACATATAAGATTATTCCAGATGAGTTTAAAGAAATTGTTAAAGAGTTTGTGAACCGTTTGTCTTCATGGCCTCAGTTTAAGGATTTGCCGTATCAAAATATTACATCAGGACTTCTTCAAGTGCTGCTCTATGCTGTAAAAAATGTGGATAAAAATGCTACTAAAGAAGTAGTCCGGAAACTGTTGGATGAAAGTTTTGCTCCTGAAGATTGGGTATCAAATGGTAATGATGATGATAAGAAGGATGTGAAGAATGCTGATGAAACAAATGAAGTTCAGACTGCAAATCTCCCACCTGTATTTGAGTCTGAGTCTGCAGTCCGGTAAGAATGTTACGAAAGACATTTGAATATATTTGATTGTGATAAATTTATAAACAGCTTAAACCCTCTACCAGAGCCAGACAAGTAATAGGTCACCATTAACAATTATTTTCGACTAGCCTAAAATGATCTGGTCATGAATCACTAAACAACAGATTATTGACAGCTAAACCAACATTAGTGGTTAATACTCTGTTGTTTAGTGATTAATGACCAGATATTGTGGGTTTGATTCCTACCCGGAACAAATAAGGTTGTTCTCTGTTCGTGCTCTGTGTAATGAGTATCCAATCTAGGCCAAATATTCATATTTCTATATAAAATTCATAGTTTTATTGTGCTCTATATCTCAGGCCAACAAAATTTCTAGCCAGAAACCAGAGTATACTTTTTAGTAGAATGTTGGTGCGTAGAATCCAAATCTGGCCACAGAATTGCTCTATCACGTCGGGTTTGGCGGTTTTTGCACTTAATACAACAATATCAAAATCCTTCGGGAAAGAAACTTAGTCAAATTTTGTTGGCCTGTTTAATCTATTCGGTTCTAATACTTGAATAGATAAATACCTTATTTGTATTTTCAATCTGCAGGCTTCTGGAAGCAGCTCTCTTTGTTTCAAAGAAGAAGACATACACTCAAATATATGCCCGGTGTTTCATCAACCGATTGGGACAGCTCGCTACAATGCCGATGTTGAACTACACTGTACAGAGACTTGTGGATAATTGTGAGGTCAAGGAAGAGGTATGTAGACCACTTATATTCAGTTTATAACAGCAATTCCCAAAGTGGTCGATATCGACCCCTTGGGGTCAAATTCGGTTTCCTAGAGGTCGACATAAACGAAAACTGATTTTGGGTGTCGACAAGGTCTAAAAATCGACCCCTATCAATTAACACAAGGTCTTATTTGAAACTTTCAAGATACTGTATTAGTTGTGTTATGAGTAACGAATTGTTTTAAAAAATTTAGTAGGATGTATCATTGTTGTACTTTTAAAAAACTCAACCAGTCGAAAAGCATGCAGTAAATTGGCTGTCAGAGATGTCAGTTCATTTTAGAAAAGAGGTCTCTTGCCCAAAATAGTATGGGAATCCTTGGTTTATAAATTTACTTTATGCAAATGATAACTAGAGCATTATTTTGCTGTCTCATAAAAAAAATGCTGTCTTGTACGACCAACCGGCTCCGCTTATATAACCGAAAGAACCAGAATAACCCTAGGATTTGATAGACCGTTCCAGATGATAAAGATTTTTCCAGCATAAATAATCTTCCGTTACCCGAGACTAGATGGCGTTGCAAGTATCGGAATTTTAAATCCTAATCACAACGCGTAGTATTCGTTGTGCATAACTTGATACTAGATGGCGTTGTTCTCCAGATTCCATACGAGTCTCGATTGTTCACGAACTAACTACACAATACAATAACCATTTAATCCTATGACGAAACAATAAGTTAACTTTAGTATGTTTGTATTACTTTTCAGTTTGAACCAATGTTTGAAGAGTTGAGCGACAAATTGCCCGCTTTACTGGCGTGTGGAAATACCGGGGTTCTGGTGGCTCTAGCCAAGGCATGTCTGAGGCTCAAGGCAAAGCAAACACAGTACATTAATGTAAGTGCCCAGCAGTCTATTTTTAATTATCATTTTCCTATAAGAACATAAAAATTGAAAAATATACCACCCCTAAAATTCCCCCCCTCAATACTTTACAATTAGTTTTATTTTCGTGTTAAAATATAACTTTACCAACATTCATCTAAATTTGATTAAATTTTTAAGGGGTAAAAACAAACAAACAGACTGACAGAGTTATCTTAACAATATTCATAGTAAACACTGGTTATGTTTCCTTATGAAGTCTTTAAATATTCCAGAACTTAGAATCAGCACTGAAATGCAGTGAACAAGAGAAACAGAAATACTTCTCAGTGGCCTGCCTGCGACTCCTGCCGCTGGACCGAGTGGACCTCACCAGCCTAGACAAGGAATACTTCATCAATGTCCATGGTTCTGTCATACTGCAGTGTATATTGGACTTTCAGGTATGTTGGTCAAAATGCACAGGCAAATACACACTAAACACATTATATTACACACACAAACATAAATATATATATACATACACATTACGTTCTTATTATGGTTTCTTGACAGTTAATTTACTTTTTCAGCGTCCAGCTAAAGCAGTGAACGGTCTGCTGGAGCTGAATCCGGAGCAGCTAGTGGTGATACTGTGTGATGCTAAGGGGTGTCACGTAGCTGATGCTCTGTGTAAGGGCCAGTGTGTGGGTGTCAAGGCCAGGGATAAACTGATTTGGAGACTTAAGGTATTATAACGTTATTTATTTTGTATTTATTAGAAAGAAAAATATTGAAACGAAAATAATAATAATGGTATAATAACAAGCAGACAGATCTAGTGATGGTAAGCGATTACCGCCACCCATGGCCAACTTAAGAGTCATAAGTGCGTTGCCGCCCTTGAGGTTTGAACCCGCAACAACTTTATCACAAGGCGAAGGTCTACTACTCTAAAACTTGCCTTGAAAAAAAGCTAATAAATAATCACATCATAACAACAACCTAAGTCCACTGCTGGACATACCTTGCAAAGGAGATTTTGGCGTACTATACCACGCTGGCCAGACGGGTTGGTATAGGATTTGTCTCAAGTTTTCCTTCCCTTTGCAGTGCTGTTGTTCTGCAGAGTTTGGTTCCTTAATCGGCTCTTACTACACCCACGGGATGAATAGGGTGGTGACACTCCGTATTCTGAATCTGTCACCACACTAATGTGTATATATTACAATAAATAATACCTCATACGAAACATCTGCCGGACTCCATAAGATGTGTTTTTTTATAAATTTTATTGATTAAAAACATTTTTTTTATTTCAGGGTTATTACCAAAAGTTAGCACTTTCCCAGTATGGTTCCCGCGCCCTGGAGCAAGTATTCACAGTCGCCACCCTGGAGCAGAAACTGAAGATCATGGCCGAGCTCTCCGACAAGAGCAATCTTCTAAACAGCACAAACTTTGGCAGACTCATTGCAACTAAACTAGATGTCGCTACCTACAAGCTGTCGCAGAAGAAGTGGGAGGAGAGTTGGAAGAAGAAAGAATTAATAAATAATTAAACAAATGTTTTGGATTTTATTTTACACTAGCTGACCCGCGCGACTTCGTCTGCGTCTCTCAATAGTAATAAATTTTCTCCGTTTTTGAAACATTCTTCATTGGTGCTCCGCCCCTATTGGTCTTAGCGTGATGATATATAGCCTATAGCCATCCTCGATAAATGGGCTATCTAACACTGAAAGAATTTTTCAAATCGGACCAGTAGTTCCTGAGATTAGCGCGTTCAAACAAACAAACAAATAAACTCTTCAGCTTTATAATATTAGTATAAATGATTGTGGGATGGGATGTCTGGTGATGTACTCGCTGCAAATGTATAATTTTTTTTTAAGTTAGTATATGCACGTAAAATATTCTTAATCTTAATTAAAATCTTAATTATTTAAAATTAGGTTATCCTTTATTAATTAAGTAACCTAGTAACTAAAACTAAAATTCTCTATATATATTAAATAACCCACCCCTGGTCGCTCCCGGCGCAAAGGTGCCCATAACGCTAGCTGCGTTCCCACGCTAAATGGCCACGACCCTGAGCGGGACTCACCAGTCACTTCGTTCAGCCTGCGCCCTAACTCATGTACAAACACCTTAGCGTCTGTACCCTAACTGCCCAAGGTAACTGCTATGGGCACGAAATAATAAAAAGAAGCATTTGGAAAAAATAAAGTTTTATATTATATAAGTATTCATGTAAAGCCATACAGATGCCATTCAGCTTAAGAAAAGAAACGGGACTGGAACACAGTCCCTCCATACCCCTTATCCCAGCTTCCTCGCCCTGTCTACAGTCCTTCCCCATTATAATAATAATATTTTCACACACGGCCGTCGGATCCCAAACTAGGCAGAGCCCGTACTACTACACAAGCTATTGTACTAAACTTAGTTTATAGTTTTCTTTTAACGACAAGCTCAACATCGAACAGCACCTATTTATCAATTTCTGAATGTATGTATTTTAAGAATTTTAAAAATTTAGTTTTTAAAATCATTGTTTTACATCAATTATCAGCTCAATTATATATCATGAATAACTAAATGTTATATTGTGATAACTGACAGATGAATTATAGTTTATACAAACAATGACAATAGATGGCGCTATTTTCAAACTACTGCATGTGGAGATGTATGAATAAACGTGCCAAGCGCTCGAATTGTTTATCGTTAATTGTGTTAATTTGTTGCACTATTAATTAACACCCTGATAATGTACAGACTGCTTTGAGCATGTCGTAACTGATCAGTTCATTTTTTTTTGTTGCGATTAGATATAATCATAACAACGAAAAAAAGGACCATTCTATTCTAACAGAAGACTTTGGGAAGAATGTCCCTTTAAAAACTTTGTTTAAATATTAATTATGAAAAAAACCTTTTATTATTCTTGTATAAAAGATTGTATGACACTTCTGGAATATTGTTTTCTTAACCACAACATACTTCCGTAATATAACAGGTTATATTGACGTAAGTTCTGCACATATGTTTCTATAAATATCGTTAAGGAGTCAATTAGTTACATAATTATGAATACCTGAATGATAACATTTTTATAATATCATACATACGAAAGTAATTCTATTTGTTAGCTTTCAGGGCTTGACAACTTAAGCGATCATCACGAAATATTGCACAAAAAAAGTCAGGCGTATTTCAAAATTAGGCTCCTCTGACATTGTGCGGTCCATGGCCCTTTACGTGTGCCCAGTATGGGCGGGGGCCCTGAAGGCCAGCAACGTCGCGATACTGCGACGACCGCAGCGAGTGCTGGCCATCAGGATCATAAGGGGGTACCGCACGATCTCCTTTGAGGCGGCGAGTCTCCTGGCCGGAACTCCACCGTGGGACCTGGAGGCGAGAGCCCTTGCGGCTCTGTATAAGTGGCGCAAGGAGGCGCGGGAGTTGGGTCGGTGTCCCGAGACTCGAGAAATCGATGACCGGAAATCCCATTCCGCCAGGTCATCATAGGTGAGTGGAAGGAACGACAAAAAAAAAAAAAGGCTCCTCTGACACAAAAACTAGGCCCTCTACTCCCTCTTCCATAGGCTAGGCTTTTACACCAGAATTCAATCAAAGGTTTAATCGAAATGAACCTGTACTAACATAATGGTGTACCTACCTAATGGGTTGTAAAGGTTCTCCTGGGTGAAAAATAGGTACACAAGATGAATAAAAAAAGCCGCCTTTGTTCACCTAGGTGAAAAAATTCCAAGGTAAACAAAGGCCACCTGGGTGAAATTCTTCTAAGGTGCAATGAACAAACCAAAAAATTTACTTCATTGACACTAATAACAAATTTCTTAGTTTATAGTTTCAAATTATAAATGAAGATACATAGATAAGAAAATACCAGTCTATTTCTCATAAAAGTTAGAGATTATTAATATTTTAACAAATAAATTTGAACAAAATAGTCATTAAGTCACGTGACAACGAACACCAATCAAAGTTTTACGTCACGCCACGCAAAACATCATTGTTGTAGTTGACGTTTTCATGCAACAAAAACAATATGGAGTAACCTACTAGCATATTTTCTAACCTTAATACAGTTTCAGTTGACACTGGACACAGATGTAAACAGTTTTGTTTCGAAGACTGTGACGTCATTCTAGACGCCATGACACCATTCAGCGTTTTCAATTGAAATCAAAATACATAATGTAAATATTGCTTTTTCTTTAAAATATAGGTTTTTTGGGATAAAATGGATATTTAATTATATAATTAACCAAGTTTTAAAATTGAGTCAACTAGCCTATTATTTGGATATCACCACAAATAAAAAAATAAAAAATTATGAATTAGTTTTAATTATCATTTAGTTTTGGTAATATCGGGTACTGGCACATCCCATTACAGTTCTTCGGTACCACTCCAGGCTCCAACTTGCAGACTTTGTTGCCGCATATGTATTCTCCTTTCCTTACGCTTAAGTCTGGCTTCCTCCTTGGGAATTCGAATAGGGGATGAACTGTAAGAGAAGAAAGCAGATTGACAAATGGATAAAAGTAAGCCTTTTAACAAGAACTAACTTTTTCCTCATCACATCAACAGCCTTTTATAGTTCACTGCTGGACATAGGCCTCTCTTTAGAAAAGAGTTTTTGGCCTACTCTACCACACTGACCAAACGGGTTGGTATAGGGTTTGTGTCAAGTTTTCCTTCTCTTTGCAGTGCAGTTGTTCTGTGTAGTTAGTTTTAACTAACCTTTTAAATAATAATAAATATAATTTGACTGCATGGATGGCGTAGTGGTTTAAGTGGTCACCTCATCGCTTCCTACTGCGCTGAGTACAACACTCAGCGCAGTAGTAAGCGGCGAGCAGTCCTATTCACCACAAAGAGTAAAGTCTGAGTTACGTATTTTTAAGTCCTGCATAAAAAGTGGCATTAGCCAGCTAAGCCTGACGATATTATACGTTTTCCTAAATGAAAATCCATATAACACGGCGCTCGGTGGCACATGGCGACCTCGGGAGATCTAAAGAGCTACTGGATGGAATACGAGTGGAGTTTAGTCGAGTGGGTTCGATTTCACAACACGCTACAACACGCTGTCTGATCCACAAACTGTTTTTCTGAGTCTGGGTGTCCTTTGTGTCCTTTTCATGTATGTGTGTGAAGACACACACAGGATAAATTCCTAGTACGGGAGTTGTATTTTTTAAAATGGAATAAAAGAAAGAAAATATATTAAATTACCTCGTACTCCTCCTTTAACACCTTCAACTGCTGATCTTTTCTGTCGATGTCCATATATGTCGAATTTTGGACGATTCACAAGTCTTCGTCCTGTGTTATTCTCTATCCCAGAGGCTAGGCATAGGACCATACAGATGGCCACCAGTAATAACTGTAAGAGATTGTTAAATTAAGATAAAAGTAAAGACCTCCGTTGTCCGTGTAGTGACGGATTAAGAATACGGAATGTCACTACCCCAGTTCATCCCGTGGGTGTCGTAAGAGCCGACTAAGGGCGCAAAACAACGCAGGACACCAGCACTGCAAAGAAGGAAAACTTGACACAAACCCTATACCAACCCGTCTGGCCAGCGTGGTATAGTAGGCCAAAACCTCCTTTCTAAGGAGAGGCCTATGTCCAGCAGTGGACTATTAAAGGCTGTTGATGATGATGATGAAAAGTAAAGAAAAACATAGGCTTAAACAAGCTGGAGCAACAACTGGATTGACCTGGACCTGATTGAGACAGAAGTGATAGGTTCAACTTTTACCCAGGACAAGTAATTGTGTGATGAGCAGACGATCATATGTTCTGTGTCTGGCATACACACTTGTGTTTGTGAACTCTTGTCGAAGTTCGCCATGTGTGTGTGTAATCGGCCTATTCCTTCTTAGAAAAGAGGTTTTGGCCTACTATACTACGCTGGCTAGACGGGTTGGTATAGGGTTTGTTTCAAATTTTCATTCTCTTTACAGTGCTGTTGTCCTGAGTAGTTTGCTCCCTTAGTTGGCTCTTACGACACCCACGGGATGAATAGGGGTGGTTACATTCCGTATTCTTAATCTCTCACCGCACAGACCATTGAATATATCATAATAAAAAATCAATCGATGCAGGTGAAACGGCCAGGATCTGGACTTAAATAAACATAAATTATAGTTTAAAAACACTAAAATAAAACGATTTTGTAACTAGCCGAACTAAAAAGTACGAAATAATTTTCTGAGTAGAAGAAGACATATCATTTAATTGTAAAAATGCGTGGGGTAAAAAAAAGTACCTAACAAAAAAGGAAAAAAACCCACCATGCTTTTTTTTTACGATATAGCACGATTATCTTGTCATTAAAGACTAAAAAAGGAACAAGTAAATGACATATGCTTTAGTACACGCCTTAGTACGTGGCACAAAACATTACCGTATTTTTAGATAGGTATGAAAAAAGCCGTTAATCCTAAAGATCCTGATCAGGATAATCGGACAAAAATTAAAATATTGTATTGTCATTGGTCCTTGATAAGTGTGAGAAGTTTCAATTTAATCCGACGCTTTGAAGTGGGTGAATATAACGTTCAAAGATTCACGAAAAACAATTTAAAAATACACGTTTTGCGTACGTGAAACAACATTTGAACAAGTACGTATCATGGCGTAGTTTACATTGAGTTCAAGTGAATTTCCTTGAATTAAATGCAAGTCTACGTGGCCTTCACGGAGATTGGTTGGTGTTTGAATTCGTGTCTCTAAACAAGACAAGCCTTTTTTTTGTCTACATGGGATATTTATCGTTCTGACTATACCTATAAGTATTCTATCAGTCAATCTAGCTTTCATAGTACAAGCTCTGCTTAGTTTGAAACTAGATGGCGTTGTGTGTTAGATGTCTTAAATATTATTATTCTGTGGTGACTCCCACATACAAAAAAAAACAGAAACATACTACAACGCCATCTAATGAAGACACACCGAACTACGGAGTAACTACTTAAATAAGAATTGCTAATCCTGTATCGCGATATAAAGAATTCCCTCGCCGATTAGCATAGATACAAATTCCCAACATCAACCGTTGGGCCGCGGCCCGCCAGGCATGATCACCTAGCCTGGTCGCAGGATCCTCTTTTTGTGTTGGAGGGACATGACACCCGTTCCTCCACAATTCTTTTTACTCCGGTAATCTCGATCATTCATGAAAAGCAACGGAGGTATTGCTCAACACCGGTTTCCTGCGAGGGTCCACCGCTGGGTTCAGCGGCTGTGGTCGCCTGCATTCATTTGTATGTTAGTGATTATATTTTATATTTTAATTATATTAGATTTCATAGTTCCCATAGATTGTTTGTAAGTGATTGCCATAGTGCGACAAGACCACCATTTAGGTAAATGACCCAATATTGCAGATCTCTTAGTTTTTTTAAATATTTCACTGTAGAATTAAGAGAGATTTATTATTATATGCAGAATATTCATAATGTTTATTCAGAAGTCCGTGTGGTGACACTTCGTATTCCTAATCCGTTATTAGGAATACGAAGTGTCACCACCCCTGTCCATCCCGTGGGTGTCGTAAGAGCCAACTAAGGGAGCAAACTATACAGGACAACAGCACTCCAAAGAGGAAGAAAACTTGAAACAAACTCTATACCAACCCTCTGGCCAGCGTGGTATAGTAGGCCAAAATCTCCTTTCTAAGGAGATGCATATGTTCAGAAGTGGACTATTACAGGCTGTTGATGATTAATGTGATTCAGAAGTCAATACGGGTGCATTATGAATAATAATATTTCGGACATCTGACACACAACGCCATCTAGTTTCAAACTAAGCGCTTTTACCTACCGTGAAAGCTAAATTGACTGACATACTACTTATAATATACTTTTTTGTTAATACATACATATTACTATTAACCTATCACATGCATAAATCAGACCAATATTAGAGCATCAAAACTTGCGCTTTCCTCTACGAATAATACTCTTAATTTCTCTTATTCATACAACAAGAAATACTAAAAACAGAATGAAATAAATATTCAGGTAGGGCAGACATTATTTTTTTAGCCGTTTTTAAAGATAATGGTACCGCCTTGCACTTGGTCGGTTTTTATTTTGTTATTTTTCTGCACTTTTGACTATACACATTCGTGAGTCATCTTTGTATAAAAATTGATACACCGGTATTGTTTTTAAGCGTGTTATGTTCCTAGAATAACCTCTGATTTTGCCAAGATACACGTAACTACAAGTGTAAAAATTAGGATGAAATATTAGATTATAAGATACAAATAAGTATTAACTGGATTAAGATTTACCAATTTGTTGGTATTCACCTACCAACTTTAGTAGTGAGACCTGCCATTTACACCTATATCTGTGCACTACACGTACCTACAACACAATACCTAAACGACTACCAATATTTACTGTTTGTAAACAGTTTATTTTTGTATTATTTCAAAGACATTCTAATGTTAATTTGGTTTGTAATACATAATTACTGATATTATTAAGGCGAAAGTTTGTATGAATGTTTGTCCGCGGGTAACACCGCTTGGCTCAGCTAGTATGTACCTACATATAACTATTAATAGTCATTTGAAATACTTAACCTAAACTATAAAATCATTACTGTATTGCAAAGAATCATTCACCTGTACTTTTTATTTAACTTTCTGATATAAATGAAAAACATCATTTATATCAATTACACCAATTATACGAATTGTCAGGAGTATCTACCAGTAAGTCTTAGTACGTCGTGAAGATAATTTCACTGCGTAGATTTTTATATGGAGGTTATGGAGAAGAACAGACGAGAATCTCCTAGACCACTCTTTTTAACATGATTTCTTTTTAAACTGTGAGGATAATGTTTACGTAATATTACCCTAAAATATAAACTACAACAGTTTACTACCATACTAAAATACAACAATAGATATATCCATGCACTATACTACTATCAAACTACATAAATTTCAATAAAAGCGTGTATAAATAGCATTAAAAATTCTCACCGCGAACTTCATATTGCTTAGAAAGGAACGCACGTTTCTCGTTCACAAGACACAACAACAAACTGGCTTGATGAACTAAGTGATCGGTGCCGTATTTAAAAAAAAATCAAGACCATAGAATAAAAATTAACAGCAGTTATGACCACAATCATTGTGGTTTGTGGTTAATGTTATTTGAAGAATACATTGAACTTAATAGTTTAGGTTATTATTTATTTCTAAGAATCAGATGGAATGGTGGGTTCATTGTTAATTAATGACCCTTTATACATTATCAAGGCTGATATTTGAGTAATCATCGTAATGATTTTTCCATAACTATTAATATTGTAATTAGCATTTATTAGTAAAGGCATTAGAAAGATAGTAAGTTGGTTAAATATTACTATAATTCTTGGTGATACAAATCTAAATGCTATTGTTAACAATAGGTTTTCGCTGATACCTGCAATTCTAGTGTTAATCCATAATCTGTTGATTACAAATTCGATGATTTCGTAACAGTATATTGCTGATGTACCTACCAGTTAGGTGGTAACTAAATTACTTCCTAATAAAGCTCATAACTTCGTTCCAAATTAGGCAGAGCCTGTACTAAGGTAACCAGACTGCTGATAAGCACACTTATACACCTAAACTCATAAATATTCTAGATAAATTACACCAAGACAGAACATCGTACTCATCTTACAACCCACTAACCACTAGACCGTTAAAAATATTATTTCGTGTTTTCATTCAAGATTCAAAATAGATAGTTTCTGTATGTTTTACTTAAATTCTCCTAGAATAGATATAATTATATCAGCACCCACGTAAAGCTTGACAAGTCATCCATATTTCCTCATCTTTTTGTTTCTGTTTTTGTCAGTTATTCCGGTTATCGGTGTATTACGATTGCCCATATAAACAGCTGTGACGTCGGGTATCTCCTTCCGTGAGTCTTTATTACCGTGAATCACAGTAAACAATTTCACTATCTAAACTCACACACTCGTGGCAAGAATAGTCAAGATAAAGTTTACGTGAGTGTGGATTGAGCATAAAAATGCTTCATAACAAGTCGTATATCGTATACTTATTCAATAACAATGTATCGCCTACATTTAAAAGCTGTGTTGAATAATTTTTTAGTAACTTACTAGAAATATGTAAAAAAAACAGATCTAGCTCATATTTGTTGCTGGTTACGGTTAGAGGTAATGTCAATTTATGTTTCTCATAGTAGGCCAAAACCTCCTTTCTAAGAAAAGGCTTTTATCCAGCAGTGGACTGTTATAGGCTGTTAATGATGATGATGATAATGTTTCTCAAGGTGTACTACGAAACAGTATTGCTGTTAACTTATATAGTCCATAATAGTAGAATCATCACAAACATTAATCCGTGTGATGACGGTTTAAGAATACGGAGTGTCACCACCCTTATTCATCACCCTTGTAAAGCCGTAAAGGTGTCGTAAGAGTCGACTACGGGAGCAAACTACTGAGGACAACAGCACTGCATAGAGAAGGAAAACTTAAAACAACCAACCCATATGGCCGGCGTGGTATAGTAGGCTAAAACCTATGTCCAGCAGTGGACTACTTAAGGCTGTTGATTATCACAAACATTAATAGCCGTTCCCTCTAAGTATTTTTAAAAATAGCTGATGGCTTTACATAGATCTTTTGCTTCTTATGGAGAGTAGGTGTTACTATTTTGATTTTAAGTTAGAGGGAACAGACGAGCAGACGGATCACCCCATGGAAAGTGACTATCGCCGCCCATGAACGTGTGCAACTCAGGAGTCACAAACGCTTTGCCGTCCTTTTAGGAAGCAGTACGCTTTTTTTCTTGAATCGGTCGTATCGGTCCGGAAATACCGCATTCGATAACCCGTTCCACAGATTGGTTGTGCAGGTAAAAAGTGTCTCAAAAAGCGCACAGTAGTGGAGCGCCAACTATCCAGGTAACGAAGAGGAACATTTTGCGGTGTGGAACGATGGCTGAAATTTGCGGCTGGTATTAGTTCGAACAATTCCTCGGAGCACTCACCATGATATATGCGATAGAGAATGCAGAGTGAAGGCCAAGGGATCGAGCCGATCGGAGATGTTTGGGTTTTTAACGATTCGAGTCGCTCTTTGTTGGATGCGGTCCAGAGGGAGAAGCTGGTACTGAGGTGCCCCTGCATAGAAATGAGAATAGTATTCCATATGCGGCCGGACTTGCGCCTTATAGAGCTGAAGGCAGTGGGCCGGAGTGAAATACTGCCTCGATCTGTCCAGGACACCGAGCTTCTTCGAGGCCAATTTGACCTTACCCTCTAAGTGACCCCGAAACTGGACTTCGCTCGATATGTCGATGCCTAGGATTCCGATGCTGGCTGAGGCAGTTAGGGAGGTGCTCTCAAACTGAGGTGATACGACAAATGGTATGTAGATGGTAGACAATATGGTAGACCTGTGTCTTTTTTGGGTTAAACTGGACTAGATTTTTTTTATTTCCTTAATCAGATAACTTTCAGATGTCATAAAACGTCAAATTTAAGAATTAATAATAATAATAACTTCAAACATCTCACGATCCTAAACTAGGCTGAGCCTGTACTATGATATTGTTATGTGATGACGCAATAACAGTAGATATGTTAACGAATAATAATAATAATATATATATATCTCACACACTCACACACAATATTGTTTATATGTCAAAATTAAACTTTGTAAAGAGCAATCTTTAGATTAAAAGTTCATTTTTTACCTCTTAGCAAAACACTTTTCTAAATAGTCTAAATAGCCAATTACTATTGTTACAACGTTCTTAATTTGCTATTCATTGAAATACAGATCATGCCCTTATGTACTCGCTTATTTTTATTAATTGATTTATTAAGCTGCATGAGAGAGTCTAGGTTTTTACCTATTTTGTTTTTACTAGTCCTTGACCTGACTCTTCTTTGACTAGTGTTCTAAATTCAAATGTAATATTTATACCGTTTTTTTTGTTCGCTCCTTTGAAATGTGACATGGCGTGCATTCCGCACTTGAAACTATTATAACGACAAAATTCGTGTTCTGTGCCCCGAGCACGAACAACTTACATTTTAAATGAGATTAATTAATTAAATGAAATAATGGGATTTAAATTAAAGCTTTGGTGTGAGATGTCTTGTTAGATAGAAGCTTAATTTAAACCTTTCGGCTTTAATAAAAGTTCCTACAACACAGTTGATAAAACCTCAGTGATGTACCTGTACCAGATGTAGGTACCTACCTGCTGCACAGACCGCGATCAAAAGGTAAGGATAAGTCATTCACACGCAAGTCCTTCCAGACATCGCTTTTTGCAATGGGGAGCCCTTTGTACATTTCATGTTTATTTTCTGTTTCTTTGTATTTATTTTTCATTTCTTTGGTGCACATTTATTTGAAAAATAATTATACTAGTTACCCGAAAAACTGAAATTGCACGTTGCAGGTTTAATAGTTACTTGGTAGTTCGACTAATCTGCACTAGATGGCAGTGAAATACATTTTTTATTTTACTTGTTTAGAACAAAGAAAAGAAATACAGAAACTCATTAGTTTATTTTTACATAGTATAAAATAATGTTGTACTTAGATCTTCTAAACTAAGCAACAGATTTTAATGCGTTTGTTACCAATAGAGAGAGTGATTCAAGAGGAAGGTTTATATGTATAATACATGCATATTGTATTGTGGTAGAGAAAAGCCGAGAATTTCGAAGATTTGTCTTAAAAACATGGTTTTCCGTGCTTACATTGCAGACCTTACAAGATACACCGAAATAATGTACTACGAAATTGTATATATTAAAAAGATCTAAAAAAAAGTCTGGAATAGTATATGTCTATCTCCTAAGAATAACTCACAGTAATCACAGTAAAGAGCATTTTAATCTTTTTAATATTACAAAAAAATAATGGTTTTTTTACGAGCTGTATTAAACAATACATTATTATACCTTATCCAATTTAATAAGTTAAATACGTTGTGCATTTAATGTAGATTAAAATTGCTTTTAACAGCATATCATTTCAATGAATATTTAAAAGATATAAGAGATGTAAAAGGCTGAACGACCGTGGAGCCTTACGCGTCCCGGGTGGCAGCGGCCGGCAGGATCGGAGCGGGCCCATAAATAGTGCATGTACTTTAGTATAGTCCTATCATAATAATAGTATATAATTAAATATTAAATAGCCCCACACTCACACCACATTAGTAGTATCTACATTGCACCCGTGCGAAGCCGCTTTGTGTTAAGTAAAGTACACAGTTTTCTAATAATGTTTTGTCATTTTCCCTGTTTAGATTTTGACTCAGCTTACTCACAGGAAGAGGGACTTCACAAATACTTCGAGCTCCTCAATAACTTTGGCTTGTGTTATTTTTTTTTTTTATAGGTCAACTTACAACACATACACTAATAATACATAATTTACAAACATGTTTTACAAATATTTTCTGAGTGTGTCTTACTTACAAGTTGCCACGGCATGGTAAGGGACAGTAACATCCAAGATTATACAATGCAATATCTATAATAATATACAAAACATACAGAACATCATCGAAATTAATTAAAGACAGTGATGATCTAAGAAGGTCCAAATGACGCAATAACTTTACTTTTAAATTTTGGCAAACTGTTTGAGAAGATGTCTACATCAATTTCACGATTTTTCGTCAGCTTGTTATACTGGCTTTGTAGTCTATTCATAGTAGCGTTCTGACCCAAGTTGGTTTTAGAAGTTTTAATAGAAAAAGGAGCGTATTTATTGGCACGGAGAGACCTTGAGGGAGCATTTATATATAATTTTATGTATAAACAAACAAAATCACTTTCATAGTAATATTGTTAGGTAGGTAGATACCGTTATTGTTAGGTAGATACCGATTTAAACAAGAAATTGTTTAAATCGGTATCGCCCGCAGTGAGTCACGTATGACCTGTGACTCAGCCTGTTCCGTTCCGACACGCAATTACGGGTATTTGAGCA